AGCCAAGGCCTTAGATTATGGCCATAGTTTTCCTTTCAATGCTCACCCTTCAGAACAGGCTGGTCTGCAGACTCCACTACCCAGACAGGGTTATACAGCAGAATGAGCATGGTTTCTGCACTGAGTAAAGAAGGTTATGCTTTACCGTGTGGTCTGTGAGTGGAGGCAGCACAATGAGCTTCTCCATGGTATTCATCACCACCCTCCAGAGCTCCTTCAGCACCCGTTTCAGCACGGTCTTTTCACACACCGTGGCAAAGAGAGTCAGGCTGCAGGGAGAGAGCAAGAGCTGATTAAAACAATGCAGTTCCAGCAGTGCAGGCTATAGGAGAAACGGAGTGAAAGTGGGGGTGAGATTTAATGCCTCACCTAACACACAATTTATGTTAATTCTTATCTCACATCTCATAGGAAAGAGCAGCATCCCCTTTGCCTACAGCGCTGCTAAGGAATGTTTTCTGATGCTTTTTCCTTCAGCTTTAGCACTAAAACATTTGCACAAAACAGGATTTTTGTGCCTAAGAATTCAGCCACTGCTATTTAACCCCCCGAGCAACAGAAAGTTTTTATTTGGATGATGGTAGCTTGCAGGGGCCCCAAACAGGATCGGGGCCCCATTGTGCTGGATGCTTACACATAAAACAGAAGAAGCGCCCTGCCCCAAAGGGCTCATCCGTCTAAATAGGGAAAGACCCAGCAGGTGAGTTTACACTAATAGAGGGCCATTATACTCTTCTAGCGTGACCTCCAGCAAACACTCCGCAGAACCTCACGCTGCGATCAAGCCCGTCACTTCTGATTGTGCTAGAGCCTCCCTTGTAGAGACGCATCCAATCTTCAATTTGGTAAAAAATGGAGAGGGAGGGAGATGATGACAAAGGTGATATTAACAGGAACACAAGGGTTTATCTATTGGCTATGAGTAAACTTTATATAAAATGAGTGGATGAGACAGTGTTGTAATTATATTGGTCCCAGGATATGAGACACACAAGGTGGGCAAGATATCATCTTGTATTGGATCAACTTTTATTGGTGCACGGGGCAAGCTTTCAAGCTTCACAGAGCTCTTCTTCAGGTCTGGAGAAGGAAACCAGAGTGTTCAAGTTAAATATAGAGCGGGACAGATTGTTAAGCATAAGAGGTTCACACGTGTTGTAGCATCACTCCATATAAAATGGATACTTACCTGTACTGTAACTTGTTCTTTGAGATGTGGGTGCAGATGTGTATTCCATTTAGGTGTGCAGGCACCCAGCACACCGAAGCCAGAGAATTGTGCTTAGCAGTACTTGTAAGGGTGGCACTCAGACCCTGTGGTCTTAGCCCCTCCCCTGGCTATTCAAGAGTGATGCCACCCAACCCCCATCAGTTCCTTCACACCGAAATCCAAGGCTGCAGACTCTATTTAAACAAAGACTGCAGAACAGCCATCCCAAAGTTTGCATCTGGTATAACATCTAGCTAAAGTGCGTACAAAAGACCAAGTAGCAGCCGTACAAATGTTCACTATTGAGATATCACTGAGAAATGTGATCTTTGTTGCTTGTGGCCTTGTCTAATGGGTCCAGAATGTCTGTGGGGACGACACAGTCTGAACTACCTTTGTGGTTTAGATGAAGGGTCAGCCAGTCTCCTCACAGACGATCTCCCAGGTGGATAACTTCCTGTATTACCACAGCTTATGAGACAGATACTGTGCTATTATCTGAGCTGTTTCTGAGCATTTCCCTTCCTCCTCATTTAGCCATGCACCATCCACGCTGTGAAGTGTAGCTTGCCAAATGCTGGAAGAATAACCTGGGCATGGTGCTGGGTCAGCAGGTCAGGCAGGAGAGAGAGAGAGAGAGAGAGAGAGAGAGAGAGATTTGGGAGGCTGAGCTAACACACTGAAAAGGCCAGAGAACCAACATTATTTCGCCAGGCCAGTGCAATAAGAATCAGCTTAGTATGGTCCAATGTGAGTTTGAGGATAACCCGAGGAATCCGAGGGAAATGGGCAAGGCATACAACAGGTCTCTTCCCCAGTTCAGACGGAAAGCATCAGTTAGGGACCCTGGACTGAGCCCCGCTTGGGAACAAAACAGACATTTCCTGTTGCCCTTCATTGTAAAAAGGTCAATGGAAGGAATGCCCCATTCTGCCTCACTCTGCTGCTTTTCAGGGACCACTTGTGGTTGACTGAGAATGTCCTGCTGAGATGCTCAGCCAGCCGGTTTTCAGAGCCTGGTAAGTGTGCTGCTGTGGGCACGGTTTCTTCCTGACAAAGCCAGCTGGAGTGGGTTCATCCCTGCTTGTTCACTTAATACACCAGGGTGGTATTGTCTGCAAATGTGTGAACTGCTGCTCCCCAGCTCTCATCTCAAAAGGCCTGATGCACATTGTTTATTGCCCGAAGTTCCAGCATGTTCATATGACTGGAAGCTTTCTGCGCTGACCACAAACTCTGAATCTTTCACTTCCCTAGATGCGCTCCCCAACCTATTGTGGAGACATCGGTGACTATTGTTCTGATTGGTGGAGGATGGGCAAACGGAACCCTCTGGCACATATTGTTCTGTCCACTAATATAGCGAGTCCAGTATCTCTGGGGCTACTCAGATAAGCCTGTCCAATGAACATCAACTGGGGCAATAAACTGACCTCAAGCATGGCAGAAGATGGCAAAGAGACAATCTTACATGCTGCATCATGTAAGTGTGTGTGGCCATATGTCCCAGTAGTCCCAGGCATACGTGGACTGAAGTCAATGGATGCGACTGGAGGTCCAGACAAAGGTGCCGAATTGTCTGGAATCATTAAACTGGGAGAAAGGCCTTTGAATTCATAGAGTATAACAGGGCCCTAATGAACTTGATTTTTGGGGGTTCAATGTTCATTTTTCTTTGTTCAAAATCAACCCTTGACAATCAGAAGGGTCCAGCATGAATTGGACACGACTAAGGACTTGTTCCCTGAATCTGCCGCTCAATAGCCAATTGTCCAAGTATGGGAAGACATGAATTCACCTCCTTCTAGGTAGGCTGCTACCACCATCATGCATTTAATAAAGATGTATGGAGCTGACAACAGGCTACATGTACTAGTAATGCTGCCCAGCAATGAGAAATAAAGAGGGGGGGAGGAGAAGGAGGATCTGGGGAACTACAGGCCAGTCAGCCTCACCTCAGTCCCTGGAAAAATCATGGAGCGGGTCCTCAAGGAATCAATTCTGAAGCACTTAGAGGAAAGTGATCAGGAACAGTCAGCATGGATTCACCAAGGGCAAGTCATGCCTGACTAACCTAAGCGGCTTCTATGACGAAATAACTGGCTCTGTGGATGAGGGGAAAGCAGTGGATGTGTTATTCCTTGACTTTGGCAAAGCTTTTGATACGGTCTTCCACAGTATTCTTGCCGGCAAGTTAAAGAAGTATGGGCTGGATGAATGGACTTAAGGTGGACAGAAAGCTGGCTAGATCGTTGGGCTCAACGGGTAGTGATCAATGGCTCCATGTCTAATTGGCAGCCGGTATCAAGCGGAGTGCCCCAAGGGTCGGTCCTGGGGCTGGTGTTGTTCAATATCTTCATTAATGATCTGGAGGATGGCGTGGATTGCACCCTCAGCAAGTTTGCAGATGACACTAAACTGGGAGGAGTGGTAGATACGCTGGAGGGTAGGGATAGGATACAGAGGGACCTAGACAAATTAGAGGATTGGGCCAAAAAAAATTTGATGAGTGTGAAAGTAGAATGAATTATATTGTAAAAATAGAATGGATTAAAGAAATGCTGTATGTTCCTTTAAGCAGGAATAATGAATGTTGAAATATAGTTGTCAGGAAGAGAAACATTAAGGTATGAAACAATGGGTTCGCTTAAGCTAATGGTGGGACATTAACAGGAGATTGGTAACAGTTAGTAAAGAAAAAGATATGTATGTCTAGCCCCAGGTAAACCTATCAGTTCTGCTTCCTTTTGTTATCTTGTTAAGTTCACGCCCTTTTATCTGTATAAATAAGATAGTTTGAGTCTTGGATGGTGCTCACATTATCTGGGTTTATTAGCAGAGCGCTTTACTAATAAACAGAGTGGTCTGACAAATTGGGAGTCCTGAATCTGACTTTGACATGAGGTTCAACAAGGAGAAGTGCAGAGTCCTGCACTTACGACGGAAGACTCCCATGTACTGCTACAGACTAGGGACCGAATGGCTAGGTAGCAGTTCTGCAGAAAAGGACCTAGGGGTCACAGTGGACGAGAAGCTGGATATGAGTCAACAGTGTGCCCTTGTTGCCAAGAAGGCTAACGGCATTTTGGGCTGCCAAAATGGGGCATTGCCAGCAGATCGAGGGACGTGATCATTCCCCTCTATTCGACATTGGTGAGGCCTCATCTTGAGTACCGTGTCCAGTTTTGGGCCCCATACTACAAGAAGGTTGTGGAAAAATTGGAAAGAGTCCAGCGGAGGGCAACAAAAATGATTAGGGGGCTGGAGCACATGACTTATGAGGAGAGGCTGAGGGAACTGGGATTATTTAGTCTGCAGAAGAGAAGAATGAGGGGGGATTTGATAGCTGCTTTCAACTACCTAAAAGGGGGTTCCAAAGAGGATGGATCTAGACAGTTCTCAGTGTTAGCAGATGACAGAACAAGGAGCAATGGTCTCAAGTTGCAGTGGGGGAAGTTTAGGTTGGATATTAGGAAAAACTTTTTCACTAGGAGGGTGGTGAAGCACTGGAATGGGTTACCTAGGAAGGTGGTGGAATCTCCATCCTTAGAGGTTTTTAAGGTCAGGCTTGCCAAAGCCCTGGCTGGGATGATTTAGTTGGGGTTGGTCCTGCTTTGAGCAGGGGGTTGGACTAGATGACCTCCTGACGTCCCTTCCAACCCTGATATTCTATGATTCTGTGAATCTCAGGAACTTCCTGTGGCCTGGGAAAATCATGATGTGGAAATAAGCTTCCTGAAGATCGAGAGCAGCAAACCAGTTGTTATGAGTCAAGGCAGGAAGAATAGTAGCTGAGGTAACCATGTGGAATTTCATATACTTGATGAACTGGTTGAGACCAAGGATAGTCTCATTTCTCCCTTGGATTTGGAGCTCAGGAAATACTGGGAATAAAATCCCTTCCTGTGATGATAATGAGGAACCTCCTCCCCAGCTGCCAGAGCACAAGGAGTTTGGATCTGAAGAAGAGGCGGTGACTCATTGGAAGGGTCCCTGACAAGGGAGGGGGGATGGCAGAGAATTGTATAGCATAACCCAATCCCACAGTGCTTAGGACCCATCTGTCCATCGTTGCTGATTCTCCAGCACTGCAGAAGCGAGACGGTCTGCCTACAAACTGAAGAGACAGTGTTGAACATCCACAAGTGGTATGGTGCTCTCGATTTAATAGTCAAATGGGCTGCGTTCCCCAAGGTGGAGGTGGATAATCTGGCTGGGTGAAAGCAGATCCATAAGTCCTCCTCCTGTGGGACTTACTGCCCTTTCTAGAGTAGTCCTGGTGCCTGTCTAAAATATGTTTGGGTGATATTGCTGCTGTTGTTGCTGACCTCCAAAATGACGCCTTTTTGTGGCTGGGATATAAATCCCCAAAGAGTGCAGGGTTGCTTGTGAGTCCTTAAACAAATGCAACTTCTCATCTGTCTTACCAGAAAATAAAAATCAACTGTCAACGGGCAGGTCTTCCACACACTGTTGGATGTCTGCACTATTCCAGAATTCTGCAACCGTGATGCTCTTCTCATCATAAATTGCCGACACCATAACTCTGGCACTCGACATTGCTGTTGCTGCTGCCAACTGCAAAAATGTCTTTGTGACCAGATGACCTTCTGCGATAAATGCCTTCAACTCCTCCCTAAAAGATTCAGGCAATTTGTCCATGAAGTTGGCTACAAAGTCCCAGTTCAAAAAACTATCCTTGGACTGCAGTACCTGCTGGTTTGCAACACACATCTGGCAAGGAGGAAGGCAATATATTTTTCTGCCCATGCATAGGAACATCATAACTCTTCTCCGTATGCTTTGCTGTAGGTGTCAAAGCAGCTCTGGAATTCCACAAACCTAGGAGGGCTCCAACAGTGCCTCACTAATAAGGAGAGCTACTCTCCCCGAGTCAAAGACTGAAGGATGTCCACCAATTTGTGCCCTTTTTCCTGCACAAACCCAGCCTCTATAGCCAAAGCATGAAGCTATTCATCGTCAGAGCTCCTGATGTTCCTTAAAATCTTCAGGGCCAGGGGAGGAAGATTCCAACACTCGAATGAGGAGGATGAAGAAAAGGAGCCATTGAAACGTCCTGGGGCAGCACTGGTTCTCGTATATGTGGATCCGTGTGTACCTGCTCTAAGGGAGATGCCTCCACCGGAGTTTGCAATGTAGGTGGCTAGGAGGTGATACCACTGGCTGGTCAGCTTACCTGGCACAGGAACGGGTGGAGGATTCGGATTTATAGAATGAGGAATTGCCCATTGGTTCCATGGAGGCTGCTGAGGATAAGGGCATGGCATTGGGGGCCAACAGCCCCTGTCTCCACTGAGGGAACAATACAGATCCCAGTATCAGACCGGTGTCTGAAGAACAAAGGTGAAGGGAACCATCACTCCAGGCTTGATGCCGAAGGACACTCAAAGTTGTTCAGAAGCAATGGGGGAGCGAGCCTCAGAGAAGCAAGCAAATGGCCAGCCCCATCCCTGGTCCAATAAGTTGTTTGCATCAGCATCAAGGTAGGTCCCAAAGTCAGTGCCCCAAAGACTGTCAGGAATATCACATTCCCACTCAGTACTTTGACTCCCTGTGGAGTATTTACACCCTCCAGACCATTGTAGATCATTGTACTCCTAGTCACAGAAACGAAGCTTCCTCATTTTTCAAATATGTGCTCTCTTTACACGAGAGATCCTAGTCGCAGCTCTATACCTCATCTCCTCTGAGGTCTCTGCTGCAGCTGGAAATCAGAGACCAGGCAGGTGCACAGCGTTGCTTTGCTTTCCTCTCCTTGTGCCAGAGATGAAAAGTAAAGTTTGAATGAAACAAAGCTTCCCCAGAGTCCAAAGGCAGTGGCACTGCTACTTTCAAGGAACACGTGTGCAGCTGTAACAAGTCTGGAGAGGGTGCACGCTGGCATCCTTCTGTAGCTCAGCTGTGTCTCTCTGCTTCCAAACACTAACCACGTATATCTGAATGAGACACCACAGATAGAAGTAAGAGTAAAAGCAGCAGCCCAAGTATTCCTACCTGGCAGAGCCCATTCCCACAGAAGAGTGAACATAACTGATTGTAGGGCCAGCAAAAGGCCACGTGGCCCAACGGATGGGCTCTTTGAACGCTGATTTGAAACACACCTTCCTGCTTCTCTCAGGTGAGCCCTCAACACCCTTCTCCAGAAACACATCAAGGTATTTCTTGGCTTCAATTCTGTGCTTGGCTATAGCTGCCTTGCTCAGCATCAGTTCTCTGCGTTTACTCCCTTTTGCCTGGAAGAGTTCTGATCAGTTTCCCTTTTCACCTCTCACTGACCATCCCCCTGTAGGGCACAGAGAGATTAGACTCACCGGCCGAGTCCCACGAGGCTACATCTATAGGAAGCCATTGGGAGAACTGAGGACGCAATACATAGACAACACTCCGCTCCTTTATATCAAGCATGAAAATCACCTCTCCCAGGTCTCTCAACACCTAGCCAAAATCCTCAGCTGGGTGAAGAGCAGCTGGCCAGAGCTGAACCCAGGCAACAAAGAGGTGATGCTAGCAGGGTGCAGGCAGTGTTTAGAGGAACTTGCCTCCTCTGTAGGATAGACAAGAAGAATAATCCAGGCTCTGCCTCTGACTTGCTGTGCTCAGGAAAGAAGTCATGTGCATTCCCACTTCTACTTCCCACCAATAGAAGGTGATGCTACCTCCCAGGAGTAGTTAGGTAAAGCATGGAAATTGCTTTACGGATGTAGAAGTGCTGCTGTGTATGCATGCTAACTATGATGCACACAGTCCCTTTCAGCATCCAACCTGAGGAGAAGATGGAATGACTCAATGCGTATAAATGCAACAAAATAAACCATTTCTCATGCAACAAAATCATGAATTATACCTGGCGAATGTCATGGGATTCACAGAAACACCATGATATCTGCTGGCTGACACTTTCAAAATGAGAAAGTCTGATACGTCATCCAGAAGCCACCTCTTTTCCAAAGATAAAAACCCTCCGGGATGACCCTGATAGAGAAGACGTCTCTAGGGAATCAGCCAGAAGGCTGGAGAAACCCCTCCCAATCTGTTAGAAATTTTATGGCAGTATGAATACAGAACTGAGCTCTTCTTACTTTCCATCCAGGAAGTCCATTAATGGCCTCAGGACATTGTCCGCGTCTTGCGCCACCGTGTTCCTGGCATTTGCAGGAATATTTCCTGTCCCTTTCACTTGACAGAGTATATCTGACATCTGCTTGACACACTCATCAATACGGCTCTGAAAGCTAGACAGACGAGAGAAGCAAAGTTATTCAGCGGCAAACCTATCACTTTTTTCACATGAAAACATAACTTGTGTTCACTAACTATGCAATACTCCTCTTGACTCCATCCATCTAAGACGTTCCCTATTGCTTCCTTCTCAATGTTGTTAAGAAGGACACACTATCAGAGTAATCAACTGTGTAGAATATCAGTAGTGACACTAGCATCCCTACACGTGGCCTCGTCACGTCGGAGATAAACTCAGTCACTTAATTAGAAAGCTGCCCTTTCTTTTTCCAAGAATTACAACTGCACGTACTGTTCTGTGTTTGGTATATACAGTCTATGACTTCACACAGATCAGTAGTGTAACCAGGGCTCAACTGCAATGCACTGCGGACAGACACATCCCTACAGCTCATTGCCAGACCTTACAAGAGAGAGTTGTTAAAATCACAGGTGCTCAGCAGCAGACACGTGCTGACTGAAACAAGCCCCAATTATACATAAATGTCAAGACTAACTGGGGCTTGGCTAGCCAAGTGAACAATGTCTCTGTCGAAGTGACATGCCGGCCGTTAGGGGAGTTCAATTGTCTGCAACTCCCAAGGATAGACAGACAGAGATCCGAGCCACATCCATTCGGGGAATTAGCTTGTCACAACCACTATCAGTAGATGGCAACCTAGTTACTGCAGACAATCAAGAAGACTCTAATGTAGTGGTTTAATGTGGGGAATACTGCAGCAGAGCCGTCAACACATCAGCTGGGAATGAAGGGAAATGCCTTGACATTTAAGTTTGCAATATTGTTGTAGCTGTGCTGGTCCCAGGGTATTAGAGACACAAGGCGGGTGAGGTCATCTCTTTTATTGAAGAAGTTGGTCCAGTCAGAGGTATCACCTCACCCATCTTGATATTTAAGGCAACTATTACTGACAATAGATGGTAAGTGCGGCATTCAATTAGCTAATGTTTGCGTAGGGCCTTGAACATGTAAGAAGTGCTAGGGATTGCGGCCAAGGTTTAACACTCCTTACTCCACCAAATCAACCGAACATGGGGGCGGGGGTCTAAAGCTGGCTTCTAAATCTATATTTGGGCACCTAAATAAGGGGCCTGATTTCCTATAGCGTTGAGTCAGCGGGACACCTGTGGCATAGGCGGGCCTCTCTCCTTTCAAAACATGCACCCTCTGCTCCTGCTCCTCACTAGGCTCCATGCCCCACTGCCTTCTTCTCTCCCCATGGACCAGCCTCCCACCAGTGCATCAGACTCCACTGAAGCAACCCAGAGCCAAGCCTCCATTCTCACGTTCACCTCTCTGACCCTGCTGAGGGGCTCGAGAGAGTAGGACCACCACAGTGGGGCACTCGAGCGGAGTGCCAGCATGTAGTGCTGCAGCAGCCAAATGCTCAGGGTCTCACTGATCGCCATATTTGGGGTCGGGAAGGAATTTCCCCCCAGGTCAGATTGGCAGGAGAGGGGGGGTTTCGCCTTCCTTTGCAGCATGGGTCACAGGTCACTGGCAGGTTTAAACTAGGATAAATGGTGGATTCTTTGTCACTTGAAGTCTGTAAATCATGGTTTGAGGACTTCAGTAACGCAGCCAGAGGTCAGGAGTGGGTGGGTGAGATTTTGTGGCCTGCAATGTGCAGGAGGTCAGACTAGATGATCATGATGGTCCCTTCTGATCTCAAAGACTATGAGAGGCCTCATATTGCAGGGATCTGTGCTTGGGAATAGGGTGGGCTGTATATAAACAAGAAGTCATCAGCTTCTCAGGGTCCAGCAGCAGCTGCTTCCTTTAGCCCCAATGACGTGAGCCCTCTGGTCTGGACCCTTTCCTCCAGCTGGTGCAGGGACGCAGGGGTTTCCAAACACAGAGGAAGACACCAGCTTCCATGAAAATGACCAGGCAGCTGCACCAAGTCACCGAAACCCAAGAATGCCTGGTTTTCAGGGTCACATAACTACATTAGGGGAAAACATTAAGTGTTGGCAGCTACATCTTACTCTGTGCGTAAACTGCAATATAACTGGGCAGCCCAGCATAAACCAGTCACTGCAGTGAGCTAGGGATGTCAGTCTCTCAGACACCAACAGATAGGATTCCAGCATTCCCCGATTCATATGCCGTCTCCTCTCCTCCAAGGCTTCCAAGAACAAAACATCTAACCCGCAGTTAGGTGTAAACCATGCTATGTTTCCTCTGAGCTATAAAACCTGGAGTATTTATTACGTGTGAAAAGCTGATGTGGAGTGTTACACTAAGTAGGCTGGTAATGCAGCAGTAGTGTCTCAACGCTGTTGATCTATGGAGATGTGAACACCCGACCCAGGTGTGTGTGGAATACATTTACTATGTTTGGGATGTGCGGAATGGGATTAAGGGTGTTCTAAGGACAGAACCACACCAGGCCAGGATGCAGAGAAGGGATTACCAGCTTGCTGAGAGAGACCACGTCAGACACTGATTTAATTTCATTCTTTCTACAGAATGGCCATTTCAGCCATGCAAGTGGCTCCATACCAACCACCAATCTTTAATAAAGCTTGGTTCGAAGGTATCTAGGTCTAAGGTGCCTATCATCTTGGTATCTGAGCTGACAAGGTGGCAGGCAGTTCTCCAGCTTACTCTAGGTTTAGTCGTGGATGTTACTTTTGTACGACCCATGCTGTGAAGTTTTGCCCCCCATTCTTTGGGGAACGGTACAACAAAACAGGGGTCTGCAGATAGCAAAGGGCGTGCTCCAGGCCTGCTGCTGAAAAAGCTCATCTCTTGCCCCTTGAATCTGTACCTAGGCCACCGAAGACAATGTGCTGGAATATCCTAGCTGCCACGGAGGGTCTCTCTCCCCCCCCGGTCTTGGGGTCGGGGTATTGTTATGCAGTGTTGGAAGCCTACAGCCCTTCCAGAAGCCAGGTGTGAGAATGGGAAGAGGTGGGTGTGGGACCATGCGTTGGGATGAATTGCTCTCCCAGTATCCACACTGCACTGAAGACTATCTTGTGTCCATCAGTAATGAACTAAATATGGCTCTTTGACCAAACAAGGCTCTGTCGTGCTGTGCTCTGTAATGGAACTTCCTCAGGACAGAGGGAGCAGGGAATTGAGATGTAACTGTTTCCTCAGCCACAGCAGCTATCCCTCAAACATGAAGAAAAGATCTGATGCGTCAGAGGTGCAAAGTGTCCCAGGAGTTGCCATTTGTACAGACGCTTTTTATGCTAGTGAGGATACCTATTGTACCTCTCAGTTACATCCCTGAGGAGGAGATCTGTCTTGCACAGTAAGCTGCCCTTCCACTTCTAATTTGATACCATCACTTCTGACTAAATGCAGCAGCTGAACCCTATTGACTGGTTAATCTCTCTCTCTGGCACATGTTTCTGAAACACTCCCTGATAACGTGTGCTGATACTGCATAATCTCTGTAAATTACACTTTCGAATGCCAAGATTCCACCCTAATTGTCTTGTAACATTGACACGGTGAAGACAAGTGTCAGATAACAATACTAACCCACTAATTATGATTTCTCACTCATCCTCCATCTAATTATGAATGTCATGGACTCAGTTCCATGTGTTCATATCTCCCCATCTCCTGCTGCCACCATCCATGAATAGCAATGGGAGTTATGCACTTAGTTACCAGTTCCATATGCTGAAAATGCAGCTGTGTGTCGGTAAGTCCCACAAAGTAGCTGATGGTCATAAATACTACAAATGTATGGACGGGAAGCAGAGCAGTCAGGCTGAGTTTTTATTCTTACCACCCAGGTAGGAGCTGCACTACTGGACGTGCCTGATTCATCTTTTTACAGGGCATACATGAGATGAACTGTCCTTATTGTGGGGAATAGTTATTTTCAAAGATTAATAGACTGGATCAATTGGGGGACATTTTACTTAGGAACATAGACTGGAAGGGAACTCCTGGCTCATCAAGTCCAGCCTCCTGCTATCACAGGCCACCCCAGCCTATAAATTCAATTCATAAATGTATCAAGCTCCACCTTATAATAATAATAATAATATATGTAGATATACCTATCTCATAGAGCTGGAAGGGACCCCAAAGGGTCATCAAGTCCAGCCCCCTGCCTTCACTAGCAGGACCAAGTACTGATTTTGCCTCAGATCCCTAAGTGGCCCCCTCCAGGATTGAACTCACAACCCTGGGTTTAGCAGGCCAATGCTCAAAACACTGAGCTATCTCCTCCCCCCACCCCTTAAAACTAGTTAAGCTGTTTCCCCCACTACTCCTGTTGGGAGGCTGTTCCAGAAGCTGACTTCTCTGATGGTTAGAAACCTTCTTCTAATTCGCAAGCTGAACGTATTTTTGGCCAGTTGATACTCAATCCATGTCTCCATACAGAGACCTGGACATCCAGCAACGGTGAAGACAGTCTTCAGCCTTCCAGTCTTGCTTAAGCTGCAACTTTTGTGCTCACTGTAGAGTTGGGATAGCTGAGGCACATTCCTTGCCCAGGTAATTTGTATCTATGATTTGTAAATAAAGCTTTTAATTGCAACTAGCAACGATTCTGGCGCTGGTGCCAACAATGACTGACCAGCCTATAAGAAAGTGCCAACCTTTGCAACACTAGAGTCCCGAGTCTCAGCATGAATCACAAATGCTAAGCCAGCTTCCTTCTGATTGTAATACTCATTTAACAATCAGAAAGCTCTCAGCTGTTACATACCTTAACAGAATGTTTGCATTTAAACAGGAATATCGCTTCTGAATGTTCAACTAGAAACTGCTTTCAGAGCAATGAAGACCAGGACTCAATTCTCCCAGACACATGTGCTGTTAGCAGCAGGATCAGCAATATATGTCAATCCAAATACATTTCACAGTTCAGATTCTCATGTTCTGTTCCCAGGCAGAGCAATGAACACAACAGATACAGTTTTCTGAAAGTTTCTCAGTTCTTCAGATGGAGAATTGAGCACATGAAGAATTGAGCAAATTCAAGGCCATGAATTTGATTCAAAACAGAAACACTGTGAAATTGCCATGTGTTTTACTTTCATCTCTCTCAATCTCAGGAGAGATGCAGCTGGAGTGGAAGAAAAGGAATGTTTCCATGGTTATAGAAGCTAGATGTACTCACCTGTTACCAAACACAACACTGAGCTCATCCAAAACATTGTTCAGTTTCACTTGGAGCTCTTTGAGATTGTCACTTGCTTCTGGGTCCAGCTGTGGACAAAAGGAGAGTGCTTAGCTGGAAAGTGGAGGTTGGTTTGCTGTTCTCCAAAGCACCGTTAGCCACTGATGACTAAATGGTAGAAAAGCACATGAAATATCCTCAAGATTTGTTTACTAGCATCCTTTCCCAGGCCCCACTGTAGAACTTCATGGCCAGCTGCTCTGGAGGCCGTGATAGAGCCACTAGAGACCTCCCCATAGAACTTGGGAGACGTGAACAAAAGTTACTTGGGCTCCTACTTTCCACCACCTCTTCTCAAAGTCATCCCTTTTCCTGCTACTCCTGGAGTTAAGAAATAAAGAAACATTTAAACCTTTCTGGCACAGAACCCAGACTGTTCTGTGTTACTGCAATATATACCTTTGGGTTCTGAGTCACCTTGTGGCTATCGGTTTAATCGAAAACTGGCTTCTTTAAAGTGTGGCTTTTTACTGGGGTTGCAGAGTAGCAGCCGTGTTAGTCTGTATCCGCAAAAAGAAGAACAGGAGGACTTGTGGCACCTTAGAGACTAACAAATTTATTAGAGCATAAGCTTTCGTGGACTACAGCCCACTTCTTCGGATGCATATAGAATGGAACATATATTGAGGAGATATATATACACACATACAGAGAG